GGTCAGACAGTGCAAGATATGACAAAATAATAATTTCTAAATTATCAAGGGTTCATGAGAGAGTGGGGAGTGGGGACAGAGGGGAAAAATGAGGAGCTGATGTCAGGGGCTTAGGTGGAGAGCAAATGTTTTGAGAATGATGGGGGCAATGAATGCACAAATGTGCTTTACACAATTGATGTATGTATGGATTGTGATAAGAGTTGTATGAGTCCCTAACAAAACGATAAAAAAAAAACTATCCCAACCCAGTCCAGTCTAAACCCATAAGTCTGATATTATACCAATCCTCTTCAGACTCACAAAATACATGCAATGATGCTGAATGCAAGATGATCACAGGTCAGTGGGTAGAAATTCTTTGGGTCCATTGGCATTGGAAGCATCTTAGTGCTGGCAGGGGTCTCTATGTGGCTTCTCTAGCTTCAGAGGTCTGGTTGTATCAGGGTAGGTCCACATGGCTTCTCCAGCTCAGGCACTAGCATAGTTCCATGTGTCTTGTCAGCTGCAATGTCTCCCAGGGTGTGAGCCCAGAGAGAGAGGTGTCTCCTGCTTCTGAGGAGGAAGTACCCTACTTCCCAGAATTCTCAGGAGAAGGCCATGCCCATACAGAAGCCTCATTGGCTATGACCTGATTGACAGACTAGACTCCACCCCTTCACTCTTAATTCTATCAAGTACCAAATTGACACCATATTATGTAATTACCACACCTGCCCATACCCTTTCCTATTTCTGGGTCCCATCCTAGAGCAGTGTTAACTCAGAGATTTGGTTTACTGGACTCGTGAGATTAAAATCTGAACTGGGACTTTTTGGAGGAAATGAGCAAAGGATAGTTGTTGTTCAATCTTAGCAGGACCAGGTCGGGCTCCAAATTGTATCCAAAGGAGAGGAAAGACTAGGCTTACAAAGTGGCCATGCAAGTCCTGGTTAAAAGGAGGAGGTGAGAAGGCAAACCATAATTTTAAATGTTCATGGACTTTAGACTGTCTATAATCAAGGGGTCTGGATGAACCCTGAAACAATTGCTCTGGAGATGATCTTTTAAAAAACTAAACCAAATATATCCTCTGGAGTCTTCTTAAAACCAAACTGTGACCCTAATTTCTTTTAAAAGAATCAATACCAGACTAGTTCCAAGGAGTTGGAGATAAAAATGTCCTAAATGTGAACTCTTTCACGATGCTACTCTGCTCTATTTTTCTCCCATTTCTCCCTTGAGTATATTCCCTCACCTTCCTGGGCTCTGTGATTTGTTGCAAAGTCCTACAGAAACTCATGACCCTTTAATGAACTATTGCTCAAGGCTGTGAGTGCTGTTCACTCTCAGGCAGAAATGAGGCAGATGCAGGGTCTGGATCTAGAAGCCCCAAATGTCCAAAAGTCACAGCAAGGTCTTTTTGCTTCTACCAAAGCTGAGCCAGAAAACAGTGTATGGCTTTCTTGGTAAGGTTATGTATAATAAAATTGTATGGTGACACCAGTATATAAACCCCATCCAGGTAAAATAAAGGATGGTGTCATAAGTCATACCTTTCTGAAGGTGAAGGCAAAGATACCCACAAGGAAACCAAGGACGTGCCTTGGTTCGCACCCTCTCCTAAAGTCAGATCTTAATCCCAACCTAATCTTGTCCATTCGTATAATAGACAACCCTTTCCAAAATGGGACTATAGACTATAGTCCAGAATGCTAGTATGTCACATGAGGAATTATGACCAGGACGGCCAAATAATTGACAATCATTCACAAACTATAGCTTAGCCTAACTAGTAAAAAATGACTGCCTTCTATATTGTGTTCTTTGAAGAATTATCTATATGGGATCAAAGTGACAATGGCAACTCAAAAAAATAGAAACGGGAGAATGAGTTTACACTCATGAGAGAAGAACCTCTCAAGAAAGGAGGATAAGAATGAACTGTGTAACCAATATCACCGACTTGCACATGTGGAAACAGTTTAATTGGAGTATGCTTTGCTGTATAGTCTCAATAACAATGAAAAGAATGGGTATGCTTAAAGAGAAAATAGTCACTATCTGTTATATTTCTCAAGTCTCACATGTTGAATATAATAGTTACATTTATATATACTAAAAATAAAGTGAACTAAAAATACCATTTTTCTTTGTTCTCAGTAGGTTTATTTGGAGGGGTGGGCTTTCTTTGCTTTTGAAAGCTTGTGAACCACTAGAACCTGATGTCAAAAAATGTCTTCCAATGCTGGCATCAATATTTGTTACTACAGAGTAGAAAAAAGTGAGAGGATTTTTTAATTTCTCCCCTTTGCACAACTGGGTTCACATTTATTTAGATATTAGAACATGTAATGAAAGAAAATGGTGTTGTCTCCTTTTCCACAAAGAAAGAACAGATGTTCCTCCTCATCACTCCTCTCCACCCATCCGCCAACACATTTGGGTTGGACCAAACATGAACACGGGGAGAAATTAGAAATAAAGAAAGTGGGTGGTGGATGGAACTACAATGAGGTTAAAGATCAGAAAGAGGAAGTGGAGGAAAGGTTATGGTGGCCCAGAGCAGCCTTCTTGGTCTGAGGAAGCAAAGGGAAATACAGCATCCCAAGGCATGAGGAAAGACCAATTCATTAGAAAATCAAGAATATGATATTCTTGGTACCACGAGGGTCAGCAGCAATGAGGAAAACCCTCAGTGAGGTGGGTTGATGCCATGGCGACACTGATCTCAGAGCTATTAGCTATCATGAATATGGTATAGGGTTGGACAACTTTTCAATTTTACCATGCACCCAAGTGGCTTCAAAAATGTTGTGGAACAATTCCATTATTTGGTCATTCTATTTTTCCCTGAAGTTTTTAAAGGGTTCGTTTGAGTTGAAACCAACTCTTCATGGCAACTAACAACCATGTAGAAAGCACTAGAGTCTTTCGGTGGTGCAAACAGGTCATAAGCTTGACTGCTAACTGAAAAGATGGAGGTTCACGTCCACTTAGCGGTGGACTGGAAGCAAGGCTTGACAGTCTCATATAGAAAGTTAGCCATTGAGGGAGAGTGGGTAGGAAAGAGGGAACCGATTACAAGGAACTATATGTGACCTCCTCCCTGGAGAAAAGTGGGTGAAGGGAGACGTCAGACAGGGCAAGGTATGACAAAATAACAATTTATAAACTATCAAGGGCTCCTGAGGGAGGGGGGAGCGGGGAGGGAGTGGAAAAATGAGGACCTAATGCCGGGGGCTTAAGTGGAGAGGAAATGTTTTGAGAATGATGAGGGCAATGAATGTACAAATGTGCTTTGCACAATTGATGTGTGTATGGATTGTGATAAGAGTTGTATGAGCCCCTAATAAAATGATTAAAAAAAAAAAAGTTAGCCATTGTGGGCAGGGAGTGGTGAGCAAACAATGCCAGAGATAGGGGGAACGATTAGGGGGTTAAAATCAACAATGAGGAGGACCTAGAGATCCTGGGGGTATTGGAGCAAGAGCAATCTAGCTGAGAGGAATTACTAAGAGGCAGAAGAAGAGCAAGCATGATGGTGGGATAGGAGGAAGGTAAAAAGAAACAGAGGAAAGATCTGAGAAGCAAAGCTATGTGTGTTAGTCTAGGTAGACTAGAGAAACAAATTCATGGAAACATATGTGTATAAGAGAGAGTTTTATACAAAGGGCAATTATACATTAAGAAAGCATCCCAACCCAGTCCAGTCCAAGCCCATAAGTCTGATATTAGCTCATATGTCTGATACCAATTTATAAAGTCCTCTTCAGACTCATGAAACACATGCAATGACGCCAAATACAGGATGATCACAGGCCAGTGGGTAGAAAGTCTTGTGGATCCAGTGGCAGTATAAGCATCTCAGCCCTGGCAGGGGTCTCCATATGGCTTCTCCAGCACCCAGGGCTACATCAGGGTAGGTCCATATGGCTTCTCCTTAGGGATGTCTCACAGGGAGTCAACCTTGTCAATAGAGTCTCAAGGATGTGAACCAAGAGAGAAGTATCTTCTGCCTCCAAGGAGGAAAAATAGCAAAAATTCTCAGAATTTTCAGGAGAAGGCCATGCCCAAAGAGAGACCTCTTTGATTATGTCTTGATTGACAGTCCAGACTCCACCCCTTCACTCATAATCCTCTCAAGTTGACACCAGATTAGGTAACTACCACACTATGGATAGGGGTATAAACATAGGTGTGTACATATATAAATATATTACTTCATAAAAATAGAGGTATTGACCTATATACATATATTTATTTGACAATGCATTGGGGAAGTGGACGGATTTGGGGCATCTGCTCAAGCCCTTCCTCAATGTAATAACACTTTGTTCTAATAACCTGGCATTCTGTGATGCTCACCCTCCATGCATGATAGTTGAAGGCAAAATGGGTGCACAAGCAAATGTGGTGAAGAAAGCTGATGGTACCCAGCTATCAAACGACATAGTGTCTGGGTCTTAAAGTCTTGAAGTTAAACAAGCGGCCATCTAGTAGAGAAGCAATAAACCCACATGGAGGAAGCACACCAGCCTGTGGGATCATGAGGTATCAACTAGATCAGGTAACAGGCATCAGAAGACCCAAAACAAAGCAAAACAAAGAAAAAACATTGTTGAGAACGAGGGGGGTTGAAGCAGAGACCCCAAACCCATCTGTATAATTGTCGATACTTACATATAAGAACTGTAGAAGAACCATTCATGCATCAGGCTTTGTTGATGACAAGTGTGATAGGATTATCATGCCAACTAGGACAATAAAAACATGTGGGTGGAGCTTAATCATATCACGTTGTAGCTTGATTGGAGGATGACCAAAATAAATAATAAAGACAGCAGGCATCCCATCTCCCTCTTGTGATGGATACCAGCATGCTGCTTCTTTAGCTAGTTCTCTGCCCATGTGCTACACTACCTGTGGACCAAGCTAACCCATAGATCTTGTTGCTAGAGCTTGAAGCTTTTTTGGGAACTGCTTTGCCACAGGGTGGTACATAATTTTCTTTTTTTTTTAAGAAAATTTTTGTGGTTTTATTGTATAATGAGGCATTGAAACATCTGAACAAATCAGTATCTGGGCGGTGAGGCAGCTGCTTTCTCCTTCACTTCTTTGGGTTACTAGAGCAACTTGTCAGTAGATTTTTTTAAAAAGAAAAAAAAAAGAGGGACAACTTTTTGCATTACTTAAGTCTTTCCAAGGCATGCGCTGGTACAACACAAACTTCTGTCAGATGCGACTAGCTAGTGTCCAAACATCATGCACAGCACCTGGGTGGCAGCAGCGCACTGCGCCCCTCCCACTGCGGCCGAGCTGGTGCATGATGTTTGGAGCATCTGGAGGAGTGTGAATAGTATCGGGAGGAGGAGGAGGACGAGGAGGAGGGAGGAGGAAACAGCGTGAGTGCCTGGCTGGGATGAGGTCAGCCGAAGTTGTGCAGAGCCAGCCTGAACATGTCGTTGGTGCACACCCAGGCATCGTTGATGTTCTTTAGTAGGAACATCTGGTGAAAGCCCATGATGGGGTCTTCATCGGCCTTCAGCTGGCCCACAACCATGCTGAGGATGCAGCTATCTGGCGTGGGCTGATGGTCCTGCGACGTGATGCTGTGCTTGATTTTCTGGAACGGAAGGCTAGACAACTTCTCCACAATGGCAGCTTTCCCCTGGAACTGCTGTCCTTCCCACGTAAGGCATGATACGTCAATATAAATTGCACCCAGTTGGGTTCTGTCGTTATCAAATAACTGGTAGTAATGCTGAATGAAGCTGGATCCAATCTGTTCCCAAATCGGCTTGTCTCCCATTCTGGGGCGTTGCCCGGCCTCGTGGACACCCAAGGGGCTGGCAGGATGGCGGCAGCGGCGGCGGCAACCAGCGCGGTCTGCGACCGACTCCATAATTTTCTTGATCTTGAGGTTGGTGTATCCTGTCGCCATGCTTGAGTTTGAGGTCCCATTAGGGCCTGTTTCACAAAGCTCCCAAGCTATTGACTGAGAGCTGTCGGCCTGCTGTTGGCCGCGGCTGCCTCTGGGCAGACTCTGCCTGCCTTGCCTGAGGGAAGACTCTGCTGTCTGCTTCCTTGACCTTGGATCCAGCAGCCCATGTGAGTTGAAGGACTTCCAGTATATGAATTGTTCCATGAAAGTGAGTTGAATTGAACCCTCTGTAATACTGTGTGGGCTAATTAGCTCTTATATTCCTTCTCGCTGTATAAACCTATCTTCCTATATGTGCCATTATATATGTCCTGGTTTTGTTTCTCTAGAGAATCCTGCCTAACACAATGAGTAAAATCCACATTCATGATCTCCCATAATTCTCACAGCAGTCATGTGAGGTGATTATCAATACACAATCTGAGGCTTGATGTGTGTCACATAATGGATTTCGTAGGATTTTATACTCATTTTAAACTGCCTTATGAAGGACAATTTATTGGAAGGATTTAAGCTACTGGGTTATAAATACTTAGACAAGGGCCAGAATAATGTCAGGAGTCTTGCTCTCAGGCTCCCACCTGGAAGCCAACTTTACTCTTTCGTTTCAGACTGACTTTCCCCACATAATGGAAGATGTGCTGCCAAAGGTATCTGAGTGTTATTTGCAGATGTAGAGCCACTAGAGAGAGACTAACTCAACTGGCACCCCAAGGTGACCAGCCACAAAGAACTGTGGCCCAGCTTCAGTGAGGTGCTAACCTGTGGATGAATTAGCAGCACGAGGATCCGGGTCGTAGGGGAAGCTCATGGTGGCCCCTGTAGTCATAATGTAGCTGAAGATGTTAGATCTCTCTGAAGTTAGATCTATACCTTGGCTCCGTGCAAGAAAGAATTCACGCGGAAGCCTGGTTCGTGATCCAAGTGAGTTTTATGAGAGTTAGAAGAAGTTTTAGATTTACACGGCACCGGAGGGGCTCCTCCTGCACATGCGGCCTGGCTGGAAGCTGCTCAGTGTCACACAAAAGTGTCCCAAAGTCCTTCCAAAGCTCTCCCAGACCTCTGCCAAAGCTCCCACAGTTCTCTGCGCCAAAGTTCTCTCTCTCCCCCTCGACTCCAGGCTTCTGCCTTTTCAAGGATTCCACGGGGAGGCGTGGTGGACGACCCCTGATCCACCCCATTGGCTGAATTGAATTCACCTGGCCTAGGTGGGCCAATTCAGGTTCATGCCCACCCATGCCTACCGGGGAAACCTGAGCCTCTGGGGATGTGCAGTGCACCACTCCTTTGTTCCCCTAGCTTGGCCCTCTGGGCATGTGTTAGCGGACATTCCCAGCTCTAGCTAAGCTACCTAACAAAGGCAGTTGTAGGAATAGGGATGGGGAGGAAATAATGTGCTGTGCAGATAATCTTGTAAGAGTAGAAAGATGAGGTTTTCACTCCTGTGAAGAGTTCGAGTCTCAGAAGCCCCCAGAGACAGTTCTACCCTGGGCTATGGGCTCGCTGCAAATCAGTGTTGACACAGCGGCAGTGAGTAGTCGTGGTCATAGTAGTGGTCGTAGTAGTGGTAGCATTCTCCACATGGCACACCAGCAGCCATGGGGGGTAGACCCCAGAAGCTCACGGTAGTTGAATTTATGTCCAATCATTTCAGAAGCGCAATCATATGGATCATTACCTGTAAGGTAGTCAGATCTTCCTCATCCCGCACCCAAAGGAGGGCAAGTCAGACCTGTGCAATGGGAGAGGTTTGCTTTGAAGAATAGCACTGCTTTGAAAAAGACCTACAAGGAAGTAACGTATGACCTGTAGGCAGGGGCTGCATCTTTATGGTTACTCTATTTCTTGATCTATCCATGGTAGTGAGATAAGGATGGGAGTTTTGGCTGCCCCTTTAACTGTCACTACGAAATCTCTTATCTTTCCGG